CACACACACACCATACACATTCACACACTGCCCCATACACACCATACACATTTACACACATTGCCTCACACACACACATACACTGCCCACCCATATACACACAGACCCCCATACACAGCCCCCCATACTAACATTGCCACACACATACACTGCCCACACACCTACACATTCACACACTACACCCCCACACACACACTGAACCTTTCACACACATTGCACCACTGCTCCTATTCCCTACTACAGCCTCATATCCCAGCAGACCCCAGGTAAGTTGTCAAACTGTTCGTAAACGGTTTGACTACTTACTCTGGAGCAGTAGTGGTTATTGTGCATGGATTATTTCTTTAAATAATCTACAAGTGCCCCAGTAGCCAGCCAGCCAACCCACAGGCCAGTAGCCAGCCCACAGGCCTACAGCAAGCCACAGGCTCACAGCCAGCAAGCCACAGCCTGCCAGCCGCAGCCTGCCAGCCGCAGTCAGCAAGCCCACAGCCTGCCGGCAGTAGCCAGCAAGCCCACAGCCTGCCGGCAGTAGCCAGCAAGCCCACAGCCTGCCAGCCGCAGCCAGCAAGCCCACAGCCTGCCAGCCGCAGCCAGCAAGCCCACAGCCTGCCAGCCGCAGCCAGCAAGCCCACAGACTGCCAGCCAGCAACAGTAATTAAGGTAAGAGGAGCCAACTTGGCTTAGGTATCAGCGAGTTATGTTGTGTTGCTATATTGTGAATAGGAACCAGAGTGTTGGAGAGACCACCCTCCAGGCCCCATTAGACTCTAGCCTCTGCTAGAAATCCCCTCCATGGCCCATTAGCCCTCAATTGTAGTTTCTACTGGGGCCTGGAGGCGACTGTTTCCAGCAGGGGATATCTAATGGACGCTGAGATGGCCTCTGTTAGAAAGACCCCCTTCCAAGCCTTTTAGACTCCATTGTAGTCTCTAATGGGGCTTGGAGGGGATTCTTTCTAACACACTCTCTAAAGGACACTGAGATAGCCTCCGCTAGAAAGACCCCCCTCCATGGCCCATTAGCCCTCAATTGTAGTCTCTACTGGGGCCTCGAAGGGCTTATTGCCCTTTTGTTCCTTGTGTCTAAAGATTGTGTAGGGTGTGGCTGGAGGCGGTGCATGGAGGCGGGACAAGGGTGGCGCTTGCTGCAGAGTATGGGTGGGGCCTGTAAGGGGGCCCTTGATTTATTTTGCCCGAGGGCCCTCAGGGTTCTCAGTCCGCCCCTGTTGATATGAATCTGTTTTCCTCTGTATTACTCATATTAGATGGTGTAAACTGATTTGTTTGTTTTATTTGAATCCAATTCCTGCTTTAGATGCCACTACAAGAAAAGATAGCATCTCAGAAGGAAGTTACTCTACTGTCTAAGATGAAGCACCCAAACATTGTAACGTTCTTCACTTCATTTAAAGGTATTGTTTAAGTTTAAAGTAGAATTGTCTATAGTGAGGATTACTTGGGGGTGGAGTTACAACAAGGATGTTGTCTTGCTACTGGAAGAGGGGAAATAATCTAAAATAACAATGGAACACTCCAGGGTTACAAATATATGTATTTATTTCTAACATGTGAGTAAGTGTTCCTTTGAATAGAAAACCTGATAGGTCAGAGATTGGTTAGAAAGCTTAAATTCTTCCATGTTAGAAGCACCGGTGTCAAATGATGCAAAACAGGAGGCATTCATTGGTATAATATATTTATTTTAATATCGTTGATACTTGCTTGATGCATATTGATTATTGACGCATTGAAAGGACATACCAAGCACTATAACCAATTAATGCCAATTGGCTCCCTAATCCTTGCCAGTTTGCTGGCTCCATGAGACGCAGGAATCCGGTTTGATTAGCTTTATAAATAATGAGAAAATGAAAAAGATAAATCCACCTTGAAGTATCCAGTTAATCTTGTCAAATTGTAACCTAGTTGTATTTCCTTCAGGATTTATTAAACTCCAAAATAATCTATAGAGCCAACAATACATAATGGGGTTATTTTTCTTTTAAACACAGAATTCTAGTGAATTAAAAAACTGAATTGCAATATCCAAGTTGCAAGTGTAGGAAGGATGGAAATTTTTTTTTTTATAGAGCAGCACTTTTTGAATATTTTGCAATAGTTTTAAATTCTCTAAAATCCGTTGGTTTAAGAATAAACTCCAGTATGTCAATATGTACAGTACATAAACACAACTATTGTTTTACAGGTGGTTTTATTATATTTTCCAGAAATTAATTATCTTTACATTGTCATGGAATATTGTGATGGTGGAAATCTGATGAACAGAATAAACCTAAACAGACTACGACGGGTCCTGTTTGAAGAAGATCAGGTAGTCATTGTACAGTTTATATATTATACACTGTGTTGGAGTTTACTCGTTTTTTATTTTTACAATCTTGCTATTTCACCTAAGGTTTGCAAGTCACAGTCAGCTCATCATTGCTCCATTTTTATCAAAAGACATCCCAAATTAGATCATCACTGATCTAAAAGGAATGGAACCTGGTTCTTCTGGTATTACAGCAATCATTTTGTCAATGATTATTGGTGGCTTTAGCCCACCAATGAAGGTCCAGTACCTTAGTCCCATGTATTCAAGCTCCAGAGATCTCCAAGCTCCCCTGCTCTCATACTGTGATATCCCCACCCTAGCACAGGGCCAGTGCATCATACTCAGTGTACCCAGGTTAGGGTATTACTACCCTTTGTTTTCATTTGTACCAGAATTTTGTAGATATTTAGTTTTACACCTCTAGGTGTTATTCAATTACTGCTTGTAGTCAAACATTATTTTTTAAACCAGTGATCAAACACCTTTAAACAAAACTACTGGCAAAATAAAGAACAAAAACTTTGAAAAGTATGTAATGAACATTTATAACCTCACTATGAACTTGGTCAGATTGCATTGTTGAACATGCATCTCATCTAGGGGTGTTTCATTAGCCTCCCCCTACCGTCTTACCCACCCATCTCCGCTTCTGACCAGTCGACTAATGACAGAAACAGGGCATCATTGTGCAGCAGCAGGAGAGACAAACTCGGTACTGGAGTCTGCTCTGCATGATTCACACTGATTAGACTCCCTGATTAGACCCCTGCACCAACTGCACATGTGTAAATCTGTTAGACATGCCCAGTGCCCTTTTCCAGCATTCCTAGGGATAGGACAGTGATTAGATCAGTGTCCCCCCCCTCCCCTGGATTGGGTGTGGAAAGCATAAGAAAGAAGAAACAAGTAAATATGAAAATAAATAAATCATATTTACTTGTTTTTTTCAGCCTGCAGAGTGAGGCAACTATATCATTTAAAAGTAAAGCTTTTGAATGATACATGTCTCTTTAAGTGAGTGTAAGCCCCTGAAATAGTTATTTCTAATTAATTGCTCCAAGTTGGGTTGCTAAATGTGTCACTATACCAAAACTCCATCAAAGCCTTGTCAATTAATCCATGCTTCTATTATGCTTATGCAGGTTTATGTAGCATTTGAATACTCAATTACTTGGTTCTAATTTTGTGTCATAGTGTATGTTTCTGTTAGAATACAATGTAATTCAATGGGTTCATATTAAAGGGACACTATAGTCACCAGAACAACTACAGCTTATTGTATTTGTTCTGGTGAGTATAATCATTCCCTTTAGGCTTTTTGCAGTAAACACTGTTTTTTGGTTTTTTTCCAGACAAAATGGAGTGTTTACATTATAGCCTATGGATACCTCATGTGGCCACTCCTCAAATGGCTACTAGAGGTGCTTCCTGGTGCAGTGCTGCACAGTGTGCAGCAATGCCATTCAGTGTCTCCACCCTCTGCATGGAGACACTGAACTTTCCTTATAGAGATACATTGATTCAATGCATCTCTATGAAGAGATGCTGATTGGCCAGGGATGTGTTTGTCTTGTACTGGCTCTGCCTCCTTGACAGTTGTAACGGATCACCTGGCACCCCGACTGGGTACCTCCGTTGAAGGATGCTCCTAGCGCTTCCTGTGGACTCCAAGCACTGCAGCAGACACCACAACCACCGAACCGGAGAAGCATACAAATGCTCTCAAGCATTTGAATGATGTAAGCAGCTGAACAGGAAAAGCATACAATCAGCTTACACTCCTGGCAATCTGCATACAATCCAATTCCCCAATAACGAGACGACACTTCGTTTTGAGGGTCAAGCAGAACTGACTGTACTGGCACATACAGCCTCTTTTATTCACAATCCACAAACATAGTACTGCCCACAGGGTTTTGAAATACAACCAATCAATCCGTACAATACACACATACACTACCACAGAAAATCCTCCCCTCTGCCTGTGATATGATTACTGAACACAATGGGTAAAATAATTATCACAGGCAGAGAAATACAGTTTTTACAAAATATTAATAACTTCCAAAATATACACTCCATTCACATAAAACATACATTTTCAGAATCTGCATGCTTGAAATATACACATACTCAAAAATCAGGGCAATCGGTTCAGGGGTTAAAAAGTTAAGGGAAAGTCCTATTTGACAAAATAAAGCATGTTTTTTTCTGCCCAAAACCAGTTCCACAGAGTCTTCTATCCTGGAGATAATTGGGAAGGAATCCAATTATCTCCAAGGACAGAGGCAAAACTCCATTTAGCCACATGGTAGCAAAATACAATAAATTATATAAAAATATATAACTGTACAACGGGTACATTCAACATATCCCCAGATAGCTTAGATCTGAGCGCAAATTATTACTGAATGGTGCTCAGATCACATACATACAGTTCAATTGCCATGGAGCCAAAGTCTTTCACATAGTCTTTTGTTATACGAATGGGCACCTTGGCATAGCTATCTGGGGTAACACTGTTCACATAGGGAAAGTACCGAATGACCGGCTTTCGGGTCTTTGCAGGGGAAAATCCAGCATTTCAACATGGGGCCATAGTCACAGGACAGGAGGCTGGCAATCAGTCTTCTCCAATGCCCAGTGGCGAGGCTGGTTCCGCCACAACAGCCTTAGCCAATCCTTTGGGAAAACATTGTGATAGGCTCAGAGAATAACATCTGATGATGTCAGCCAAGCAGGCAGATCAGGGGCAGAGCAAGCAGCAGCAGATTTGACTAAAAGTAAGATTTTACTATATTTTGGAGGAAAGGGTAAATGGTGGTTTCAGGAGCGGGCTGGGCCGGGGCCGCTGCCAGCCCTCCCCTGGGTGGTTTTAACATTAAAGGGTCAGGAATACATGTTTGTGTTCCTCACTCTATAGTGTTTCTTTAGCCCCTTAAGGACCAAACTTCTGGAATAAAATGGAATCATGACATGTCACAATGTCATGTGTCCTTAAGCGGTTAACTGGCAGGAGATCTGGAAACGATATCTACACCAACAGATGTACAATATAAATGAAGCTATAATGTCTTGCTACTAGCTATTGTAACACGATGTATTGTTGAAAGCATCACAAGCTGTTTTAATTCTGGGGGATTTTTGTTACAGATTCTGAGCTGGTTTGTGCAGATCTCCTTGGGTTTAAAGCATATTCATGATCGGAAAGTCTTACACAGAGACATTAAAGCAGAGGTACAAGTTATATTACTCCAGATTAATTGTTTTAAAGCAGACTGATCGATAACCCACAACACTAAGTGGTTTTCTGCATTTTTACTTCCTTAACAGAACATCTTTCTCTCCAGTAATGGGACAGTGGCCAAGCTGGGTGACTTTGGTCTGGCGAGATTGCTAAACTAGTAAGCAAACATGTTTTAGTACTTTATTTATACGCGTTTATTGTTATATATTGTGACCTATGTCCTTATAGTAAAGATCATTACAGAACACAAATTGTCAACTTTAAAATATCCACATCTGCTTCAACATTCACTATCCCGAAGTGTGGTGCTTTTAAAGT